GAAAAAAAAGAGAGGAGGACCTCCGACGAACAACAGATTCTCTCGCCCTCGCACGCATCGCTATTTTCGCGGTTTTGTGCGAAATTTGCCGCCGTTTTGCACGCTTCATCGATACTTTCGTGTCTAATAATATACTCCTCGATCGCGCAGTCTTGCGTACGCACGCACACGCACACGAACGTATATACTCGGTTCACACGTGCCCGCAGCGCGAAACGAGTTTTCAAATATACACGTAAACAAAAGCGACAAATGTAAAGGCAAACTCTCGGACATCTCATCATGCGTGGTGTGGTACTGAATTTTTAAAGAGACCTTAAAGTGTGTAGATACAGACGCGGCACCGCATAAATTTACACCCGACGAATCCGGCGAATCGGGGAAAGTTTCGACTCACCGATGGCATTTAAATTTTAATTCCGTATCGCAATCGTGGAAAATTTCGGTCGCGTATGTAATGTAACGTTCGTTGACCTTTCTATTCTCTATAAAGAGAGAGGATAATCAAACAAAAATCCATTTCAGATTTTTTCGCTTACGCAGTTTCATTTATAATGATGGACGAAAATGGAAATAAAAAATAAAGTCATTCTGTGTAATTGCAATCTAAGAAATTAATCTTCCCACTGACGAAAAATAATTTGACCTAAATCTTTTTGTACATATTAGATTAAATCAAAATCTTTCAAAAAAATTTATTTATAATTTTACACATTTACTGAGCATGTTTATCGTTCTATAATGCGACATAATAAATAAATGATATAACGAATAATTAAAATTATGTATTTGAAATTAATAGAATAAAATTCTGGTCTGTATAAAATACGAAAAATTTGTGACAGTATTTTCCATTAAAAAGGATCTATACTTTATGTAATAAGTCTTTTGAATCACATTTTTTCTCATTTCTTATTCAAAGGACTTTCTCGAGCAAAGCCCAACAAAAATATCGAGCGAAAAGCGATTAATTATTAATACTGATCTTGCAAAGTATGGTGCTTGAAATTAACTTAAAATAATATTATTCGTGCATCGATTTAATTACCAAGTTTCGCCGGCAATCGTTCATGATTACAACGACAGTTGCGAGAATTCACTATGTGGGTCGAGATTCGAGGAGAACGAACTTGCGATTCATCGCTTCGCGAAAGAAGTGACCCACGATAATATCGTGCATTTCACGAGGGGAAAGTTTTATATCGTCTTTCTCTCTCTTTCTCTTATATATGTGTGCGTGTACGTGTGATGTATACGAGTTACACGGTTACGTGGGAAACGACGATAGCTTTGGAAGTGAGGTTCTTTAGCTTCCACATACCACGATGAATCGATGACGATATGCGCCACGAAGAAAGGTATGAATCGAGGGAGCACTCGCGAAATCAACGTGACTTAGGTGGAATTTTAATCTCTCCCTTCCTTCCCCTTACATTAAATTTTATCTTGTTTTATACAATTCAAAGGATAGAAACGCAAGTAACGAGATATATTCTTTGTTAGAAAAAAATGGAATTTTTAATAAGAATCTCTTATAAAAATATGGAATTTTTCTCTTATAAAAATATTGAAAAAGAATTTTAAGTAACCGAATTTTAATTATGTAGTATAATGTATGTATAAGTTGACGTCGGACGATGATATCATTCTATAAACGAATTATAGGTGAATCTATTATTATGGAACTTTTCTACTGGAATTATATATACATGTAATGATGACCTTTGTCCAAGATTAGAAACAAATAATTATTTCTCAATAAAAATATCGAAATATATTTTAATAATAGTATCTTCGTAATAATCAAGAAACATGAACAATTTTTTTGTACAAATTGTGTCTCTGCATACGATTTTATGAATTATTTATTGAATCTTACATGATTATATTTAAAAAATTTGGCAATTCTTTAAAAACTTTGCAAACTTATACAGCTTGTAGATATTGGCTTCTCACGTATTTTACTTTATGACTCAAATATATTTTCGACTTTATATTTCGACATGTGTAAATCTCGCAAATGTTTTTTAGGATATTTAGAATTGAATTTGTATAAAATGGATTTTACTTCGCGCAAGTATTGTTCAAGTTCGAGTATATTTATCGATTATAGACACGTGCATCGAATTTGCGAAAGAATCCGATTATAAAAACTGAAGAATACTGCATTTATGAACTCGCTTGATCCGATTAAACTGTACACCTCAATAAGTTGCTAATTAGTTCGATAATAATCCATGCAGGAATGTAATATTATTGATTATGTAAAATTAATAATTTTGTTGCATAAATCATCCAATCGGACCAAAATTCCATTATTTTCCGTTTTATATAAAATATTCCATCAAAAATAAAAATAATGGAATATAATTATTAATTATAAAATATTGAAAATTATCTAAAATTTAAACAAAAGATCATTACATATAAAATATAATTTTTAGTATAATAATATTATTCCCTAGTCTGCAATTAATCATATTAATACAAAAAAATATAAAAAAAAAATTATAGAAAAATATAAAAAGATATTTAAAAATATGATTATCACTTCTTTTGTACAAACGTGGTTGATTAATTTTGTGTCGGATACGGTGACACTGCGGAATCGATTAATCGTAATAGACACATCGTAACATTATTACGACGTTTCTCCATTATGCAAAATATTATTTACACGTTTTCGTCTTGGGATAAGGTTACGAGATATTAATCGCTTATAACCGGCGCAAATGTCACGCGATTCTCGTTCGTGAAGTGCGAAGGTACTCTTGATGAAATATGTTGTTTCATTCTTTACGCGTGTGCGTTCGATTCGACAAACGTGCCTCGACGTCGTCATCATTGTATTGCGCGATGCAACTCGTGCGTAAATCTTTCTCGACGCGTTTGCGTCGTGCCATTTTCGTTCGTTGACCGCTGAACGACGCCCGGGATCGATGGATCGAACCGTTCGATCGCCGCGTCATAGGTATAGCTGCTCTTTATTCAACGCGAATGAAAGTGCGATCTCTTATATCCATTATATTAGTAGCGAGCAACGTCGAGATCATCACCGACATCGTTATGTCGGTATCGCTATTTCCCGACTGATGTTTTCAGGAGATGGACAAAAATTTCTCTCTAAATCTATGTGAAATGTTTATGTTTATATTGGTTAAATCCTTTCTCGCGACAATAATGTTAAAAAATAATTTAATCCAAAATTGTATGATTATGTAGGACTTGTCAGAAATTGTGTAGAATTACAATAAAGATTAATTATAATTTTGGAAAAATAAAATTGTCATCTATTATGGATGAATGATGAATTGATAAAATTTTGCGTTATTTGGAAAAATCAAATTATATACTTTCAATAACGTGCAGCAATTGAATACGCCTGAGCATGTTTCAAAGCTATTAATACGTACATCTTATAAGATTTTAATATTAAAACAAATTCCAAAATTATGATTATTTTTATAATTATTGATTATTGATTATTGATTATAATTATTTTTATAATTATTGATTATTGATTATAATTATTTTTATCACAGAAAAAAATCATTTTTATTTTGTATTAATATTAAAACATATTATTTATGAAATTTAGAAAACTTAAAATAATTTATATATTTTTACAGTTTTTAACATCAGACATTTATCCAAAGAAATAATCGGAAAATATAATTTAAACATTTGTAATTTTCTTTATAATTGTTCCGTAATTATTCTTCTGTAATTATTCTAAAAATTTATATCAAAATATGTTTACCGAAATTTCTAACAATTGTTTATGTAGTCCTTTTACATGCGGAATGACAAATGATTGATAAATTTAATTATAACTATAATTTTTCATTAATTTTATTAAATTAGAAAAATGCATTACTTTGAATGACGCTAATAATATTAACAACATATGTTAATAACAAAACGTAATTTTGTACTAACAATGAAATACAATGTTGTAGCACACATTTGTTGAAATTAATTCGGATCGCGAAGGATTAAAGAGGCGTGTTTAATAAACCACCGACACGACACGACGCGCAAGCGATCGACTCCGAACGTGGGCGTCACACACAACAGGTGTTTCCTGCATGCGGAGCATTTTCCTGCTGTCTAAATGAGAAAGAGAGAGAGAGAGAGAGAGAGAGAGAGAGAGAGAGAGAGAGAGAGCCATTTCGTTCTCTTTCTCTTAAATAATTTTTCCTCGTAAATAAATTTTTAAACATATATATATATATATATATATATATATATATATATATATTTAATTAACTTTTCGACACGTTCGATTCGATACACGCATTTAAAGACTGCGACTAATTTTCACATCACGTGGACACGAAACGTGATTTAAATTAGACAAATAAAAGTCGGGAATCAATTGAGGACGATAGTAAACAATCGGCATTGAGAAAACATCGGCATTTGTTTTGCGAAAAAGAAGCCTTGGTATCGCGACATATTAAACGCCATACAGTCTGTTTACGCCGCGATGGAGATATATATTTTTCTCTAATATATCTCAATGCCATAAACCGTTGATAAAGCGTGCCGCGCTATCAATGAGAGAAAGAAGAAGAGCGAATGGGAGGGTCTTCGAGGCGTTGTTTTCGTTTTTTTTTGCTTCAGCAGCGCGATACGTATTCTCGATGTATTTATCCAGCAAAGATAGTCTCTCTCTCCCTCTCCCTCTCTCTTTTTCTTTCTCTTTCTCGATGTTGTCGAAGAGCGACGCGAAGAAAACGCAGATTGCATAGCACGCGTGTCGAGAAAACGAGGAGCGCATGGAAGAACGTGATTTGAATTTTGCATCCATATAAATCTTTGTACGAGAAGCGCAATAACAGGCAGCAACCGAGCGAACTCGTCGCTTCGCTTATTGCGACATCGCTGCGAAATCGCGGAAATATGGCGGCCGCGCGCCCGAGACGGTCGCCGCGCGTTCTCGAACGAGCGCGGAAAAAGAAAAAGAGGAAAAGCGAGTAAATAGTTTGTTTATTTACCTCTTGTGCGACGTACGTCGTGTCCTCCGTCCTCCGCTACTCCGTAATTTCCAGTTGCGAGAAAGATGGAGAAGAAAGGCGACGGACGACGACACTCGAATTACACTACCGGTCGCGTTCAACGTTCTCCCTCCTCTCTCTCTCTCTCTCCCTTCCTCGGAATTACTTGACTTTTCGCACACGCTCCGTCGTCTCACACACGAACGACCACACCGACAACTGTCATCGACTATAACAAGGCGTCGAGACGCGATGTACGCGGCGCACCGCGGTCGCCGCGACGGCGAACAACGGCTACGTCGTTATTATACCCGGGAGGCGACGCGCTGGTGGCTGCTGTTACACGAAACGAACGACATTCAGCAGCTACGCGGCGGAGACACGCGTCGCACGACGGACAAGGGCGAACTACACCGCGGTCGCTTCGCGCGCTCCCCACTTCACGCCTCTTCCATCTCTCTCTCTCTCCCTCTCGCTCTCTCCACTCCACGCGCTTCCCCCACCCTTCATCCCACTTGCGCTCCGTCTCTCTGCGCGCCGTCCGCGCCACCGCGCGGCCGCCGCCGTAGGCCCGATTATTTATAGAATCTCAGCATTGTTATGTCCACGCGTTCCCTCGCGTCAGGATCGTCCCTTGTGGCTTTGGCGCCTTGAATGTTACTTTTGCACAAATTTTATGCGATCTTAAACTTTGTGAAGATTTATCAATCAGGAGATTTAAGAGAAGATTAATTTATTTGATATTTTCAATTGATGTTATAATTATATAATTCAAATTTATTAATGATTAGAAATGTAATTAAAAATTCTAAAACGTGATGTAGCATAATTCAAGTTTATTATTAATTACAAACCTCTCTTAAAAAATGACCTTTATTAATAAAAGATAAAGAATATAGATAAAATATTCGTAATTCTCTTTCTCCCTCCAGATGTCTAATATATTATAAATCTCAATATTAATTTATTGTGTCATAAATTGCTTCATCATTATTTGGTGAATTTATTTCACGAATGTAATATTAATATAAGCAAACGCGCACACCGAGAAAAATATCATTCTACTGTCAAGAAAAGCGATTACTCAGTTTATTTTTCTTTTTTTAAGTAATAGTTTTCTTCAACAAAGAATATATTCTTGATAATAGTCTTAAAATATGCATCATAAGTGTTAGAAAATCTCATTATCATGTACTCGAAAGAAGAATTTATTTTCTCTTCAAAAATATTGTAAAATTATCAATGAAAAATAGTAGAGATCAAACCAAATTTTTGTTTTAATTTAATATTCTTGACTAAGATACTGCACTCACTAAAATTCAGAATATATTCAATTAAATTTAATGCTTGTGATGAACTTGTGATATATTTGCGGATACAAACTTATTATATAGTTAAAATAAATAGTATTTACTTGAATACAGTATACATTTTTCTCTGTGCGTATACTTGTATAAGGGATCTTATTGTAGATTGTAAAGCTCATTTTTAAATCTCTAATTTTCTATTTTTGACGCGTTTCCGAAATAGGTCTTTCATCTCCCGTTAGGAATATTATATACGTCAGCAAAATAAACAATTATAAATATTCGTGACACGTGTCCCGTGCAAACGTCCTGTGTAAATGACGCGAGGATCAGACGAGGAGCAATGTAAACGCGTGGCGCAAACGTGCGCCTCGATAACGTGGGCGGTTCGGGTTCGTACGTCATTCTATTCAACTGTTTCCTCGTCATAAATAGATGGGCCCGATTAATCACCGACGAGCAAGCCCAGGGGCTCGCCTTATATTACACGATAGAAAAATTGATATTTTCTTCGCGACCGATATTTATATCCCAATCAGTTACATCTTGTCTTCTCGGGTACATCTACCTACGTGAGAGATGTAATATGTCTACCAACGTAATACTTGACTAACATTTTACCGCTACCATCTAGGGAACCGTTAAATTTCTAACGCATTGCGATGTAGCGTTTAACGTTAACATAAACTGGGTTGCTAATTTTACGCCTACGCATCGATCGATAAGATTAAATCTACTAATTGAAGGGAAAAGATTTTCAACAGAGTTTTCAATTTTGCGAAATTTTTTTTCACTAAAAACAACGTTACTTATATAATGTTACAGTTATTTCCGTGCAAATAAATTTTTATTATTCTTCACTTAATCTGTATATAGTTAAATAAAATAAATTATACAGTGCATCTGTATATAGTTAAATAAAATAAATTATACAGTGCATATTTTTGCATCATTTTGTTTGCTCAAAAGTTTCATTTAAAGCTAAAAAAAATGATTTAATATAATATTAATATAATATTAATATAATATTAATATAATATTAATATAATATTACTTAAAAATTTTACACAGCCGAGAACAGCTGTTAATTTTCGCTAATCGTCTCTTGGAAATTTGCAACTTGTATAGGAAGCAAGTTTCAATATGAAAAATATATGATAATCTGAATCAGATTAAAAATGCATTGCGCACTATCGGAAATCCGTGGGCGTTGCGGCTGGCTGCTCCCGGAAGCTCTCTTATCGCGAGCCCTTTGTTTTCTCCGCTTTAATTCACCGAAATCGTACAATAATCAGCGACCACGTCGCCGGCGTTAATGACACTGCACAGATTACGCTTATCGAGTCATACGGTCATAGTACGAGGAAGAAGAAAATAGTAGACGTAGCTATATCATATTATAGTCATTGAGAAGCTTCAAATCCGACTGTATAAATAAAATTTTATAATGCGCGTGTGTGAATTTATGCGCATGTCGATAAATTTTATATATGTGTATGAGCAAAAAAAAAGAATTTCTTCAGATTGGCAGATCTTTAAACTATTTCACTTGAATTTGTAATCTTAATTCTTTAATGATACATTATTTATATATTAATTTTTTTAAATACAATTATATGAATAATATATGAAATTTCTATTATTCTATATATTTTAAAAAAAGAAATTTCTATTATTCTATATATTTTAAAAAAAGATATTCTCTCAAGATATATTTTCAAAAGATTTTCAAAAGATATTCAAGATATATTTTCAGAAGGAATTAAATTTAAATTTAAATTATCGAATTATACATACATTATTTATTTATTAAAAAATTACAATAACAAATGTGACAGGTTCTCTTTCCAAAAAAATGTTTTGCCAAAATGCAAATTTGTCAAAAGATCCGTTGTTAAAATTCAGGATCAACAATTTCAGGAAATTCTGACTGTTATACTCCAATGTATCAAACAAATAGATTCAATGGGAATAGAAATCCATTTGTCAATATTTCCTTTACCGTGCCATTGGTAAGCCGAACAAGCAAAATCAGTATTATTTCGCTCGTTCTTGGATTAATCATGTCACTGCGCAAATTGACATTTGGTCCGAGATCGCGCTCTCTGACGCAATCTCGGCAGTTCGCGCGTGCGGTTACAGCAGTGCCGATTTGCATTTTGCGAAAGAATGGCGAACAAAGTGCGTCGTTACCGAAAAATTAACATTAAATATCGGGAATACATCAAAGTCGCTGAAGTCTGATTGAATAAAAAAGCGATAAAATATCATTAGAATGTAATTTTCTATAAATACACCAAGAAGTTTTTTACACATCTCCAATCTCTCTCGTGATTAATAACCATAACGTAACAACGTTTTCATAAATTCATCTATGAGATCACAAAGTCAAATTTAAAAAGAAGATAAAAACACGAGATATTTTTTACGCGATTCTTTTCGACACATAGAAAATGTAGTTAATATGCATCTATTATGCTTGTACTTTGAATTTGAAGTAAATTATTTTCTTTGTAAATAGCTTTAAAGCTAGGAACTATTTAAATGAAGTTATAAGGCTATTTATCCGAAACTTATTTCCTCCTCTTTATTAGTCTTTTTGAAAGGTGAATTCTTTCATGTATTTATATCCAATTTGTTCTCTACTTCACACTTTACAATCAATGCGTTATGTTTGGCACGATTTCCGATTCTCCACAGGTGGTTTTCTTCAGAAAGTCGCGGACGGGCTCGACGATAATGAACGACTCGACTGTAAAATATTGTAAAGCAAAAGAGGAAAGTAATTTTCTTTCTTTGCAATGAGTTTCTCTCGCAATGTAATATCATACATTTCGCTTTGACGAGCGCGATTCTTGGATCTAATTCGAACGGTGGAATTTTTTTTTCAGCCGTTGGCTAAAAAAAAAGAGAACCACCTTCCAATCACGTGCCACCTTCCAAAAATAGCAGACAAGGTCACGCTAAGCTAGTATCCCCTCGCTCACCACCAACCCTCATCGCCACCCGCCCTAAAGTCTATCGATCCATCGACTTGGATACCGTTAAACATTGGCCAGATGGAATCTAACATTTCATGAATACCAATTGTTGCTAAAGAGATGGGTGGAAAATCATCGGGTCATTCTAATCGAGGCATTCAGTGGAGTAACAATAATTAATATCTTCCTCGTTTATAAAAAGAAAAAAATCCTCGAAAACATTTATAATTATATATATATATATATATATATATATATATATAATTTATAATTATATATATATATAATTATAAATGTAAATATATATATAAAATTTTATATATATAATTATATATACATATTTTATAAAATTTATAATTATATATATATATATATATATATATATATATATAATTTAAATACAATTTAAAATTTAAAATATATATGTTTTAATATTCTGTTATATTATATTATGCATAATTTCATAAATATTTAAAAGCAAACATCTAAGTTTAAGGTCAAACTATAATAATAAAAATCATTTAAGCATTTTTATTTTTATACATTATGACTGTGATAAAGAAATATTCATCGGGCGAAAAATATTTTCGAGGAAGAATCTTCTCCTTTCGCACGTTTATGGAGATGCGGACCGAGGCAGCGAAGTACAATAATTTCAATAATACACGAACCATGTATAGCAATGTATTTTTATCATTTGTGTAAAAGATGATGCGGCAAGTCAGGCGGCTCTAATATATTCAGAGTCTCTCGTTTGCTTCGAGCTATTTATAGCGGATCGCTCGATATGATGTACTGATTATATTTTTAGCTGCTTACCTAGCTACAGCCCTTTCACCCCTTCGGCATGATACACCCTCGTGACAGCCGAGCACGCGAAAATTGCCGATATTTACCTGAAAAAAAGTAAATCTTTTGAAACTATGCACTAAAAAAATAATATGCAATTGGTAAACATGTTTATATAGTATCTGAGATGGATTAACCTTTATTGGAATATTTTTTGCCTCTTTTTTTGCGAAGCGAATTCCAGAAAACGAAATCGATATTTCATACTGGCCATTGTAAACATAGTTATAAAAATAGGTTATAAAAAATTATTACAGTATATTACACAGTGTAAAATTACATTTACAGTTATAAAACATTAAAAAAAGCTTTGTAAACATTTATAAAATAATCTTTAATAAAAAAAACAATTTGTGTTATATGTCATATTTGTGTTATATGTTATAAACCAATTTTTCATATAAATGTCAAATTTTTTTCATCAGAAATGAATATAGATTTATAGAAAAAATATTTAACATGCAAAATATTTGTGTTTTTATTATAGAAATATAGAAAATGTTTTTGTAGAATTTTTATATTGAAATTTTAAATTTAGATTTTAGATTTTGTATAAAAATTATATATTTTTTGTAGAATATTTGCTTTTCTAATTAATTAATAGCTGTTGTAATTTCAATGAGCTCAATTTTCTAAATTATGAAATCAATGAAAATTGTACTTTCCATAATAAATTAGTGCGTTTTCGTTGACGGAGAGAACACGGAGGTCATTTTTAGAGATTAATTTTATTTACGGCATTGTGTTCGCCAAAATTATGCCGACTTTATTTCCTGTCTGCGCGTTCTCTCTAGCTAAATCGTAGACGGAAAGTGCAAAGTTTAACAAGACTCTCGGTAGGCTCATGAGCTCATGTGAGAAAACCAGACACAAGGATCGCATCGAGCTGTCTCGATCTCAGCATGAGGTCGTTCGGAGCGTATAAATACGCGTCTTTAAAAAGCCGACCGTTCCGCTTTTAAAAAACCGCGTATCGTAGACGACTCGTTCTCGGGGTGGCTCGTGTTTCTACGGTGTCACTTAACTCCGTGGAAAATGAAAAGAACGTAATATACGACTAATTAACATTACGCGATCTATTGCTTTTAAGCGCTGCTCAAAAGAGAAATTTATCAAAAATACAACAAAAAATCTATCTTTTTTTTATTTAAAATAAAATATTTTGCATCGTTCTAAATCAAAAAAGTAAGAATTTATAACGTCATATCATTTTACGAATTAAATTTTTATCGTATCTAATATTATATCAAATAATATATACATTTAAAATAGATTTACTATAGCGTTGTATTCTTTTCTAAATAAAGCTAAAACGCTGTCTGAATTGGCGAAATTGATTGTGCAAGACAGTATAACGGGACATAAAGTATCGCATTGGGAACAGCTCGGTTAGGCAGGCACTCTCTCTTTCTCGCGGTAATACAGCCGACACATGTGTGTACTAGTACGAAAATAGTGACCGGCTCGTTCGAAAATACCGACCGCTAAAAATACGGACAAAAATAAACGTCCACACGTGTGAAAACACGCATTAATATTCGCTGCTCGTCCGACGGGCCGACGTTTCCATGCCACTGTATAGTGTGAAAGAGGACCGTCCGAGCGCGGGTGGCAGACAAAGATGGACGCGTATAAGTTCGACAAGGGAAAAAAAGGACGAAAAAGAGCGAGAGAACATAAAAATCTAACGGTGATGAGCGAAGCGAGGAGGACGAAGGATGAAGCGTGAGAAGAGGCGAGAAAAGGCGGTAAAGTGCAGTGCGAGCTTTGCTCAAGCCTCTTTAAACAAATTTTCTTTCATCCTACCGATACCCATGGTATCTTAAACTACCAAAATAGACTTGGAATCATGTCCTAAATTCCTCGAATAGTTTCTCGATTACCAAACTATGTAAATTAGTTGAGATGAATATATATTGCGCGTATTTCAAAATATACTAAATAAAAACATGTTTCATCATTTTGAAGAAATCACGTTTGATAAAATTATTATTATGATATAATTGGACGCAAGAATTTATGCCTTCCTCAAAGGAAAAGGATTTCGTCTGCGGATATCAGAAATTGAACAATAATGTAGGGAAATGATGCGAGTGCCAGATTTTAATTTTTTCCAGAAATGATAAAAAAAGAAAAAGTTATTAATATTTGTTTAATTATAATTTTTAAAAAGTCTAAATATTTTAAATAATTCTCTTGTTACATTGCTATTAATGCCTTTTGCTACATTGCTCTTTTGTGAAGCATAATAGATAAACTTGATAATTCATTTTATTACAACTACATAAAAGGTTATTTATTTATCGCGCATTTATTATATTTAAAATAAACGTACAAGCAAAATTCTCTCATGTAAGACTGCTATTCTGCATGGAAACTTTGAATTTGATGGAGGAGCTTTTCTGAAAATCGAGAAATTCGTGAGAAAAATAACGAAATTTCACATTCATAGCACTTGTATCATTCATCATGATTACTCCTCGATTCTCGGCTGCGAGATACGCGCGCGTATGAAAGCCTGCGGATCTGACAGAAAAATTGCCAGGCGAGAGAGCGGCCTGGCGCCACCGTGACAGCGCGAGGCGGCGCCCGCGCCGTTTTCTGACTCACGACGAAAAAGACAGAACACACAATGCGACGAGAAGAAGGGTGGCCGCCGCCCGCCCTCGCGCGCGATCGTGGTGTTGCTAGGGGTAACCCTGATATTTCGCGCGCGTGACCCATAATCGCGCAAAATGCGCCAGTGCGTCATCCCCGCATCAGGGAGAGCTTACGCGATCTTGATATTGCAACATTAAAAATGAATATCCATGAATATCGAAAAAATAGAAACCGGGAAAATGAAAATGATTAAATTAAAATATGAGAAATTGTATCGATTATACAAAATATATTTTTGAAAACTTAATCTTTTTTTTTTTGACATAAAAATAGAATTTCAAAACTATAAGCATATATTGCATTTGCCAAGATCATTTTACTATATGTATAAAAATGAAATACATCGCTATAAAAAATTGTACATTTAATATAGCATATATAGCAATTTCGCAAAAAGCACACAAATGAAGATGAATGTTAAAAATCTTGGAGTAAAATTTTAATCCTGAGAGTTTGTTTTGTTTTACATATTTGTCTGCTTTCTTCAAATGAGGATTAATTAATCTCAATCTGATGTAATCCCATGATTATGAATGCAAGTGGAAAAGTAGATCAATTATTGCGTCAAGAAATTAAAATTTAATTACATACTCCTACTAATCGCAAATAACTTTTTTTTCAAAACAGGTTCCATTCTCTCTTTCTCAACTATAAATCATTGTCACAGCCACCTCATGTAATATTCTGTATAATGCATCTTGAAAGACGATAATGAAAAAAAATGACTTACTGGATACAATGGCGTGAAAGAATCGTCCCGAGATAATTTCCTAATTTTCTCTGATGATAAAGGAATTACGCGAACAGATCACCCACTTTCCCTTGGCTTCTCATGCACTCCATCAACGGATCCATCCATTCGCGACGACGGCCGTCAGCGCCGTCATCGTCGTCATCGTCGTAGATTAACAGGTAGGGACCGTTTCGCCACTCCCGCCGTTCGATCTGTCGGCCGGGGTGAGGAAGGGCGGTGCGGATACGGACGGAGGGAAGGTGCGGAGAGCCCGGGCTATTTATAGCATCATAGGTCTTTCGTGGGAGGATCGAGTGGGACGAGGCTGCGCGACAACCGGTGGCGGCGGCGGCGGCGGTGGCGAGCAGGGAGGTGGAAACGTGTCAGGGGTGGCGTTCGAGGAATCCAAGGGAGACGGCAGTCTAGGGTCTTCGAGAGGAAGGGGAAAGCGCAGAAGCGAGAGAGGGCAAAGCGAGGAGAGGCAAGGCGATGAAGGTAAGAGTGAAGAGGAAAGCGAAGGGCAAAGAGGGACGAGGAGAGGTGATAGTCTCTATAAATAGAACCGGCATTCAGCCCGTGGACTCTTCTAGGGTGACCTTTGCGAGAGAAAGAGGAAAGAGAGAGAGAAAGAGAAGAGGCAACATCGACTTACAGGACGCTATTAGGCTAGGTTATTGGTTCACCCTCGTCTCTTCTCTTTCTATCTCCCTTCTGGGTTGGGCGCCACCGGCCGCGAATCTGGGTTATGTTTACTACCCCCTTCCCGCCCCTCTCGGCAACCGTGTCGACGGCGCCGCTGCTACTTTTCTCGCGCGAGAACGCTATGCGCGAAAACGCACTGCGACACGTGAAAAACGCGTCTGCTAAATGCACGCGTGTGTACATATCTCCTTTTTCCTACATGTATATTTCCAGTTACAAAAGTCGCTGGTAGATGAGGATTAAAATGCTCATAAAATATATATATATATATATTTGCAAATAATTAATTTATATTCACGGAAATGACATCAATAAATTATCCTTCAAATATAATTCTATTAAATCCTCTTTGAAAATATACTTCATCCTTTTTACTTTGGAAAATAAAATTATACTATATTATTGTAAATATAAAATGAAAAAATTACATCTAACGTTTAAAAATAATTTGATTTCGAGAAAATGAGCATTGACATTTCCGAGAAATATTTAGTTTATAGCATATAACCCCGATCCTGAATAAAATTAATTAGAGCCGAGTCACTTTTATAATTTGCAATTTTATGATCTTTCAATTCTTCTAGATATATATAAACTTTATACTTTTTTATTCATGAAATCCTCCATAAACTACCCGTAGATACAGATTTTTTATTTATTACGAGAATATAGATCTCATAATTTTCTCATCATATATATTTTAAAGATATTAATTTATTAAAAGGTTTATGTTGTGAGTTATATAAAAGTCATTAAATTAATTAAATGTGTACAATGTTAATTAAAAAAAATATTAAATATTCAATTCGTAATATTAAATATTTGAGAAAAAGTTATTATTTACACTATATGATATTCTGTTATATACGATTTGTAAATAAAATAAAAATCATCGAGAGAAAGAGAGAAAGAGAGAGAGAGAGAGAGAAGAAATATTAATAAATTTTATCTCTAGAAAAAAACAAATTATTTCATAAGTTAATAACATAGGTAAAATGTTTATGTGACATGTGATGAAATAAAATACGTGTTCTTTTTTCTCCTTCTCCTCCCCCCCCCTCTCTCTCTCTCTCTCTCTATATATATATATATATATATATATATATATGTATATATAAAACTTTGTGAATTTAAGACGGGATCTTTATTAGGATCTTCTACACGATTACGAAATATTAAGTTCAAAACTCGCAACGGTTTGTCAAACCATAAGAAAAGCAATTGGAAACGAGAATAAATACAAAAATAAAGCATCGTTGAAAAAGAAACATCAACGGAACGAACTTTGATTACCGATCTTTCCACCATGGAAGGAACGATCGCTTTGATCAGTGGCCGGGAGCACCAAAGTAAATACACGATATAATATGTTGAGATCAAAGCAACCATTCCTGCTAACGAAAGCAAAAGTCTAATCAAATTAAGCCGAAATTATGTATTATAATTAAAAAAAAGTTATTTTCATCACTAGTAATTCAATTCATTTCAATTTAAATGTATGACGTTCGTAGAGAAAGAGAGAATTTATTATATTTTATTATTATATTTTACTTTCGCAGCAGTTTATATTATATATTTTTCAGCTTATATTTCTATATCCTGCTTTGCATTACAATAGAAGTCGATACAAACCATGTCATACTTAAATAAATGCTCGAAACGTGCATTGCGGAAAGCGTTATAACGGAATAATTTTAATTAATTTTTCGCAATACGATTATATATTCTGATTTATGTTTTAAATAAATATAAAATACAAAGCTAAATTAAATATGAAAAGTAGATTACATAAAATTTAACGCTTCGATGCAGCAGTGACCATTTTTTTTAATTTGTTTAGAATAAAAATTAATTTATTAATCTAACTAATCTAAGTTATTTAATTTTCACGTCTTTAAAAAGATCTAATTTTCTCAAATTCTTTTCCAGATTTATTTTTTACACTCTATATCGAGAAAAAATTATTGAAATCATTTTCAAATTTGTTAATTATTGTCCGAGATCAATTGGCTTTAAAGAACCTCTCGTGAAGCATCGTTTATCACTCAAAATTCTCGATGGCGAAACGGAAGTTATTGTGTGCGATGACTAAATTTGCGCCGAGCAACCTGTCACTCTTGCGTCGCTCGCGAATCTTTGGCCAAACACATTCCGCGGAATTGAGCATAATTTGTGCCAAACGTACGCGACTAACATTAGTCTTACCTCTCCGGATGCGGACGCACGAGAAACAACCATTTTGGATTTCGACTTCGTAAGAAGAATTGCTCTTGTCCACTACAAATAGATTCGTATTAATAACTCATACTTCGTGCTAAATGTAGACCCTTGATACTCAACCCGAAATAACATATGCGATCTTTATGTAAGAAAACTCGGACAACCGTATTTAGCATTAAATGTGAGATATAAATGTAGATCGGATTTTAGCAAAATCGAAAAATCTCGACGGAAAGCGAATTAAAACTTTATATTTAGAAAGTACAACGTTTCTCAAAATCTATTTAATTTATTAAATAAAATCAAAATTGCAAACATGTATTATATTAAAAAATTACATATATATACGTTGAAGATTTCACCTCGCGAGGAGCGTAAGTTCTAAGAAAATTGCAACTTTACAAGAATGAGAAAAACCCATTTTAAAATTTAAATTTAATACGTGAAATTAATTTAAGAGTGCAATTTCTATATACTTTGGATAAGAAAGTAGCATTAGGAGCGCCGTTACAGGAATATTTCCAGATATGTAAAATATTAATTCCTGACCTTGATATTATAATTTAATATTGAAATTGGGGGGTGCACGTACACAAATATAATATCCTAACAAAAAATATGTATAATAAAATTAAATTTTCTTTTTAAACAAAAAGAAAATTATTTCTAATTTGTCATAGAATTTGTAACTGAATTTATCAAGGTTCTGGGATACCTTATATACGTATGTATCACCGCATAAAAGGATAATAAATGTCCGGCGCCATCACGCTGAAGTATCTCGCAGTTTAAAAATATTTCATTGCTATCTCGACAAGAGTTAAATTTATTGAAATGCCCCACTTGGGTAAGATTTAGAGGTACAATTTCACTATGAATTGCATTAAACGGAGGGGCAGGGGGAGGGAAGGAGAGCGGGGGAGAGGAAAGAGATATGGCGATGCCTATATTTTTCATCGCGTATTGAAAGCATTTTATGCGAGCGTCGATGAAAAATGCAGCAAAGAGCAACGCGGGATGAGTAATCGATGACAACATTGGTCGCGGTGCAGCAACGGACGAAAATAGAAACGTTTCACGTGCGCGATCGATCGGCGTGTTTTTCAGGCTGCGCTTTCGCCGTGAATTCAAATTTTTACGAGCGCGCATCTAGCGATAACTCTTAATGTCACGGGCAATTGCACATTGGAAATAATTCTCGCGGATATATATCACTTGAATGACTTCCCGCATGGAAGAGAAGCTCTGCATGATTACAGATATCTACAAAATATAGCGATTAAATTATTTACGATACATTTTTAGTCGATGCAATCCGTTATCTCTTTCACCCTGAAATTCTTTATCTCTCGCGCTTACAAATAACGAATAACTCCGTGTTACGAGACTTTTGGGTGCCATTAGTGTCAATGAAATTTTCTCGGTTCATCGCGAATGATAGTAATTTATTAAAAAAATATCAAACTTGATACAACACATGAAAAGATATCGATATCGCCACCGAAGGATGATGCCGACTTTCTCGCGTAGATTTCGTTGAAGACGAAGAAATGGACGGAACCAGCAACGGACGAGCGGCAGTGGAAGCAGCGGCACTACCATTACCATTACCACCCACACACGAACGCAGCGCGGTAGCCTGTAATAAAATTAGCGCGGGCACAATGCGAACCCGCCTTCGCTCGAGAAAATAGAATTGGCAGACTACCAAAGCCGAGTCTTGAATAGATTTCAACTATATGGATCCTCCTTCGCCCTCTGTTCTCCCTCGCTCGCACATTCGTTTAGCCATCGTCTCCTCTCCCGTCCATCCCCCTGGAGGCCTTTGTGTGACGTAACGTGTCCTCATCGCGTTATTGTACTCTTTGTGCGCGCGAATTAACGCTAAAAATCGGCCGAAAAGATGATTAATCCTAAACTGACAGCATGATGTATAATACATTAATAAAGTGGAAGAATACTTGTGCTGATTGAAATTTTTTTATCACGATAATTCTTGTTAATATTCTTATAATATCCCATGTAAAAGTATATTTAATAATGTTCTTCTAATTTTTCTATGAAAAAATAAATTTAATCATGTGAATGATAATAAAAATATATTTAATAATACGAAACATAATGTGAAAAAATTGAAATTAAAACGATACAGAAAGAATGACAGAAGACCCTCAAAACATGTGTACGAAAAATAGATAGATTTAGAATTAATCATTTCAGTTCTGTTGTTTTCATTTCATCCATTTTTTGCAACATTTTTCTAATAAATATTTGTTGTATACCGCCAGTCTAACAATAAGTTAATTGTTGACGACTGGAAACGAGTCGACGTGAAATTTTGACAAGTGGCGATATATTCGGCATTTTGTTAGGAAACATCATCGAAACGAGAGAGAGAGAGAGAGAGAAAAAGAGAGGGAGGGAGGAAAAGGGAGAACGGCTTGTGCCGTGAGGCGTGAGAGAGGGCGAAAATAAATGGTGTCGACGAAAATAAACGCGCGGCCGCTATTTTGTGTGCACCTCGACAGCCGCGTCGGTATTAACGCCAATGTGTACGGTCGATTGTGTGCATG